GTAGTAGTAGTAGTAGTAGTAGTCGTAGTAGTAATCGTATTAGTATTCGTATTTGTAGTAATAGTAATCGTCGTCGTCGTTGTCGTCGTCGTCGTCGTACTTGTTGTCGTACTAGTAGGCGGTAGTGCCCAGGAGACCAGGGTTAGGGACCTTTAAGAACTGAAGAAACTGTCTATATCTTCAGACTGCATGGTCTTTGGGGCGCTCCACTACGTGCTTTAGAAACGGTGGCGGAAACTTGTGCACCATATCAAACCACCAGCGCGCGTCAGGCCTGTCACTGCGGTCGGACTCAATGTCCCAATCGAGGTCGTGGACACCTTAACCTTCCACGACGGCTGAGGTCTGGGCTTCCGTTCTCTGCCCGTTCCGTCGGGTTCCTGGCAGGCGGCGCCGCCCGGGCCTCCCGCTGCGCCGGCGCCGCCCGCGCAAGCGCCGACCTTATCGGCAGCGCTTGCAGCGGCCGTCGGGGCGCCTGGGCTGGAACCCACCAGAGCGCCAGCGCTTCCCGCGCACCTGGCCATGCCTCCGCCGCCGCCAGGGCTTGTCGAGGGCCCCTCGGTGCCAGTGCCACTGCCCGCAGCTATGGCGCCAAGGGGGAGGAGGAGGCGGAGAAGAGGGGGCGCGACTCTGCCGCGGAAGGGTGCAGTCGACAGGGTGCCCTGACAGTCCGAGGTCCGCTCACTCGGGGCAGGGTAGCCATTGTTAAGTACCCAGTCTGGTCGGCTTACGTATGAGGGAGCTCAGGATGTTTTTTTTTTTGTTCGCGCGGCAGCCGCTTTTCCAGAGTAATAGTAGAAGCTGCAAGAGCGGCGGATGTGGATTGTTGCCTTTCCATTTGCTCGCGGGACAGTCAGCGTGGGCGCGAGCAGTGTTGGAGGATCGTTGGGGCCGTTCTCTGCGATTCGCATAGATAACACATGATGACGAAGCCCGATTCTATCGGAATCTACTGTGCCAGAGTGGGTTAGCCACCGCTCGAGGCAGTGGAGCGTTTGCTTATGCTGCACCGCCAACCCCTTGTGAGCCCTAGATGCCTCTCTTCTGAGCGGCGTTGTCGTAGAAGCGTGTTGGCGCCGTGCGCCCATCTGGGGAACCCAAGATCAGAACCGAAGGCCAAGACCAAGGTCCTCGCCGATGTTGAGCCCGATGTTCTCCACGTAGACGGCGCCGATGCAATGGCGATGCGGCGTGACCGTCCGACCCCATCTACTCGGACCCCATCCAGGAGGCCCATCTCTAGGCCTCCCCGATGGGATCCGAGCGCCGATGCATCGCCATGCGGCTCGATGCGGCGCCCGATTTTCGCCATGTCGAGGGCGGCGATGCATTACCCACGTCGCCGATCCCCCGACCCCATGTACTCGAACCCCATCCAGGAGGCCACTATCTTGGGGGCTTCTTGGGGATTTCTGGGGGGCGTCTGGGGGCCTCTTGGCACCTGGGGCCGGGGAGCCCCATGTTTGGCTCTTTCCTTGGGACCTCATGGGGGCCTCTTGGATTGTCTTGGAGGTCCTGGTTGGGCCGTCTTGGGGCCCTCTTCGGGCTCTCTTGGGGGCTTCCCGGGCCGTGTCGAGGCCGTCTTGGGCAGCCCCGGAGCGTTCTGGGACCTTCTTGGAGCGACCTGGGGGACTTTCGGCGCTTCTGGGAGCATTTCTGGGCAGACGAGTCCGCCGGGGTCGCCAGCGCCGTCGAGTCAGACCCTCCCTCCAAACTGGCCCAGGCGGGGCTCCTGGGGGTGGGGCTTGGAGAGGTCCCACGTGCCGAGGACCCAGAGGAATCGGCGAGCGAGCTTTCACTGCTCTCACGCACTAAGCTTTGCCTGACTCCAGATCCACCCTGCTTGTGGCGATCTCGCCAGCGGGGAGGAAGTTGCGAGTTCTGCCCCGCTTTGCCGTCGCTGCTCCCGTCCTCCTTTTGCAAAACTCGCCGCCTGATCCATCTCAGGCGGAGCCAGGACTGGCGGACGTATCGACCCCAAATCTTAGGTCGGTCGTGTCTTTCTACAGGAGGGATATTCAAAAATAGTCAAAAATAATGAGGGTGACGATTTATTGAGAAATTGTTAAGATTATGTTGGATTTGTTTGGGGTATTCTTGTATGTTTCGTCCAAAATCGGCCTTTAGGGGGACGTGCCCGACCTAGCCCAAGTCGCCCAGGAGAGCCTGCGGCCTGGCTCACTCGGGGGCCTCCGCCGCTCCGTCGGCGACGCATTGCTCCGATTCCTCGCCGATGCCCCCCCGCCCCCGCCCCCCCCCCCGGCCGGCCCGCCCATGCCAGGATCTGGAGCCCTCCCATCCCCCCCCCCCCCGGCGCCCTCCTCCCGCCTCCTCCTCCTCCTCCTTCCTCCTTCCCCTCCTCCTCCTTCTCCTCCTCCTCGTCCTCCTCCTCCTCGTCCTCCTCCTCCTCGTTCTCCTCCTCCTCCCTCCTGCTCCTCCTGCTCCTCCTCCTCTCTCCTCCTACACCCCCCTCTCCTCCTCCTCCTCCTCCTTCCTCCTCCTCCTCTTCCTCCTCTCCTCTCTTCCTCCTCCTCCCTGCTCCTGCTCCTCCTCTTCCTCCTCCCGTCCTCCTCCTCCTCCTCATCATCTCCTCCTCTCCTCCTCCTCCTCCTCTCTCCTCCTCCTCCTCTTCCCCTCCTCCTCCTCCTCCTCCTCCTCCTCCTCCTCCTCCTCCTCCTCCTCCTCCTCCTCCTCCCCCAGATTCTCGATGTCACAGCTTTCTCACAGAATCGACCCCCACAGGACTCCACCCACTCCCCGGGAGCGGTTCCTGCTTCCGAGTCGGTTTCTGCCAGCCCTGGGGCCCGGCGAGGGCCCCATATGCCGAACCTAGCCACAAAAAAACGTCCGACATGATTTTGTTCACGGGTTTGCCCGCCGCCCATCTGATGACAGCCGTGCCTCTCCGATGGCACCCGGCGTTGGCCCCCCCTTCGGCAGCTTGCGCTGTCCCGCACAGCCTTGTGAGTACACGGGCTCCCTGTGCTCCTCCTGGCGTAGACCGTCTGCTCCTCTCCCCGTTTTTCCTCTGCGGGCCGCCCTCTTCTTGTCCAGTACGCGGCCCGTCGGCTATTCGAACGCGTTCGCGTCCGCTCTTGGTACCGGCAACGCCGGCGGCGGGCTCAGGGGGGAAGTGAGAGAGGACAGGCCTTCTCGGATGGCGGCGGGGCTCCTCGGAAGTCCCCCGGCCGTCTGGCATGCCCCGCCGCTGTTGGAGAAGGCCTGCCCCTCTCACCTCCCCCCCGAGCTCGCCGCCCCACAAGAACAATTTTGTCACGGCGCGAGGCCTAGAGGTAGACACCAATGTCGACGGTGTGCCTCCACCGAGGGAAGAAGATCCCGATCTCGGTGATGGTGGTAATATTCTGGCTTCAAGGTGACCGAAATATTACCACCAACACCGAAATCTAGGATCATCTTCCCCCTTGTCGAGGCACCCCCCTGAATTTGTGCTGGTGCCCATGTTCAGGCCTCCCACTGGGCCCCTTCGTCGCCTCCTGAGAGGTTTCCGGGGCTGCTCCTCCTTGCGGGCCTCTCCTGCCCGCGGGCGGGGGCGCCTCCCCGGACGCCACCAGCGAGGCCTCGCTGCCAGCGGACCTGGCTCCGTGTCCGCCGTGCTGTGGCTCCATTTTCCGGCCTACAAGTGGTGTCTGCGGGGCCCAAAGGGATACACCACCACCACCACCACCACCACCACCACCACCACCACCACCACCACCACCACCACCACCACCACCACCACCACCACCACCACCACCACCACCTCCATCCCTCCCTCTCCCAGGATGAAGGAGAGGCAGACGAGGGCGGATGAGGGAAGGAGGAGTCGACGTGGTGGTGGTGCATATGTTTGGGGCC